AATTGCCAATCCTTGAGCCTTCGTCAACAGGGGGGGTGGCGTGGTGCAGGCTCCCACAGTGCTTCCGCACGCTTGTGCTTGCACCACGAATTTGGTCCCGCGGGGCAAAAGTTGTGGCTACTGGCACCATCACTGGAGCAGCCATGAAAATACGATGCCCATATGGCAGTGTACATATTTCGGGACACTGTCCTTGTTCTCGTGATGGCGATCTTGTAATATGTTGTAGTTTTATTATTGTCGCATCTTTCAGTTTTCGCCTCGTGGCAGTGGCGTTTGCCAATTTCCGTAGGGCAGTTCCCAAGCGCTTTTGCAACGTGGTCGTGCACTCTTCTTTGTCAATGGGGGTGTCACTCTACCATTTGCCTCGCAGACTGCGTGTAGGCCTTGCTGTCACCATCACTTAGGAAGCTGGTGAATCGCAGTGGAGTTTCATAAGACAAGGTCCTCTGCCATATATTGACAGCTGCCGCAGGTTCCATTGCATGGGGATGAGCGAGGAGTCAGTGTTTTTTTGGCAAATGGAAGATGAAAAGCTCGCCATATCTCTTCATCCTCCCCAAGGTCCCTGTGTATACTGCAAGCATGGCAGTAGTTCGAAAGAACTTCAAAATCGAGGCAGAGCCCCGTGTCCAGGGACACGACTGTGCCCACTCCATTGTGGCTTTTATGACCTCTTTTCTGCCAGGTGCCATCAAACATGACTGGCACATCTCTGCCGCCGACTGCGTCCTTCGTGATGTTTCGTGCCTGGTGCAAGTTTTTGCTCACTGCCGTCATCGCCGCACCATGGAGCTTCTTGCAAATGCCGTTGAATGTCTGGAGATGTTCTCTCGAATAGGATTTCCACGGGAGATCCTCTGTGATCAAGCATCTTGCTTCACGTCAGGCCTGATGGAAGAGGTGAATGCTCTGCTTGCTATTCGACATTTGAGCTCGACGCCTTACCACCCGATATGCCATGGCTTGGTCGAAAGGTTCAACGGCACTTTGAAACAGATGTTGCGCAGGTTGTGCCAAGAGAAGCCGAAGTCATGGGACCGATTTCTTGCGCCTCTGTTATTCGCCTATCGAGAAGTACCTCAGGCCAGTATGGGCTTCTCGCCGTTTGAACTGATCTACGGCCGGCACGTCCGAGGACCCCTGGATATATTGAAGGAACTCTGGACAGGGGAAGACCTAGAGGAAGATATCAAGACTACTTACGGATACGTGCTTGATCTGAGAGAACGTCTTGAACGCACCTTGAAGCTGGCTCAAGAGAATCTCTCCCGAGCTCAACACTCGCAAAAGAAGTATTATGACCGAACCTCCAAAACCCGACAGCTCAAAGTTGGTGACCGGGCTCTTATATTGCTCCCAACCAGGGAAAACAAGCTTCTTATGCACTGGAAGGGGCCATTTCCGGTTACAGGAAAAAAGAATGACCACGACTATTGGTTGGACCTTGGGCACACCACGAAAATGTTTCACATAAACATGCTCAAGCGCTACGAAGAACGTAGGTGCTGATTATATGAGCAGGCTACAGGTGTAGGTGCTAGCTATACCACATTAATGTAATAATGTACCATATGCCTAGGGACTCTCACATACAGACTATTCTCTTGGTGCAACAGTTCTGTACATTTGTTTGTCGTAAGTCTTGTCTCCCGCGCACTTTGGACAGTTTTTTTTTTTAAAAAAAAGAAAAAAAAAACTTTTGAAAGGGGGGACTTTTGTCATGATATGCGCGGTAGGTTCATCTGGTGCGCGATGTTTGTGAGTTTGTGCTGTGCCGTACGCCGACGAAGATGACGATGAGACAAGGAAAAGGCGGAATCATGTCGTCAAAGTCAAGCCAAGCCATTGGGAGAGAGAAGAGGAAGACGACGACGTGGCGTTCGAGAAGAAGGATCGGAACGAAACAGTGGCAGGCTGAAGCGCTCGTCGGGTCGTGGTCCCGAAGCCTACCTGTGCCTGTGGTCCGCACGAGCCTGGCTCCCTTCTACCGTGTGATCCAGCAGCCGGCGCCGGTCCGTTGTACTCGGATCCGGGCGTTTTCCAGACCTGGGCCTACTACTGGCTGTCCGGGACGTGCTTGCCACACATCGACTCTGCCTCACGCTCCGCTCCGACCATGCCTGAGGCATCGCTGATGTCGGCGTAAGACGCAACGCAACGCATCGACTCATCTGCCTTCGACGTCACACGGTGAAGTGTTTCAAACCTTGTGTAGTGCAGTGGGGGACTACGCTAAGCGTCAGACCTTGTCTTTCGAGAACGTGTGTCGTGCTCGTACTTAAGGCAGTTCTTCGCTGTTGCCATGTAACACGCCAAGCTTCTTTATCGTTTTTTTCTTTTTTTCGTGGCATTAAAGCCTTATAACTCAAGTTGCAAATGTCTTCGTCAGTCTCGACAACGATTATTTAAGTTGCCGTGATTGCCCGAACCTTATCCCTCACAGGCACATGTGCCTATCGTAGTGGGTGACCAGCTTTAAACCACGAAGTCGTTATGATAATGACATGTTCTGACGCCTGATGGCAATGATCGCTTGTACCACACATTATTACTACAGTATTTCATGTTGTATTGCGAAGCATATATGTAAGATGCATGTGTTTGTAAAGCATAAAAGTTACTTTCAGTGCATTCACAAGCGTGGCCATGAGGTAGAGCATCCCGTTTGCCTTGCAAACGACCCAGATTCGATCCCCAGTGTGGCCCAAAATTTTTTAATTATTTTTTAAATTATTTTTTTATTTGCATCATTCGGTCACACATAAGATGATGATTTTTCGCTCACAACCAATGACACCGACACCGGAATTTCTACAAGAGGAGCTCTCTAACGCTATCATGTTAAAATAACATGCACCCTGAATATATTGCGTGTTGCACAATTTGGCACATTTCTGAGTGAAAAAACTTTTCCAGCTAGACTACTGGCTAGCTTTGACCCAACTTCGAATGTATGTACTCTTCTGCGGTGAGCACTGCTGTCTACGTCGTTTCTAAGCGTTTCCTCACTGCCACGTTCACAACAAAGCCAATGTATGCATAATTTACAGAGCTTCTACCCAAGAGATGTCTACTTTCTGCGATGGAATGTGGAGCCATTAGTTATCTATACAGGATATGTCTTCTTTCTCACACAATACAGATTTTTTGCAAAAATGCAATGACAACACTCCACCCGAAATTCCCATCTTACACGCAGATGTCTTATAGGGGCCCTGCCATACTTCATTAAGTAATCAGCGAGAGTCTTCAGTAAAGGAGCTCGTTGCCTCATGAATAAACTACCACAAAAAGTTTCTAGAATTCGTCAAGTACGAGCAAAGTTCTGAAAGCATGCTGCACACTTTAAGCACTTCCCCTCTTTTTTTATACCAGCGAGCATGCTGAACGCTACACAAAAGGGGTAAAAAGGGGCAAGATGCTACGATTATTCATCTACATGTGATGATCGTGAGTACTTTGTTTTCTTTTATTTTTTTTCGAATGCACAGCTAACTTTCAGCTTTCGGCGTGATCACAACCGCACACATGGGCACGGTACTGGAGCCCGCGACAATTATAGTAGCTATGCAGCTCACGTAAAGTGGCGAATTGGGCTAGTTGAAACATACTCATGATGATAAACGCACAAAAAGGACAAAAAAACACAAGAAAGTGCATGACACCAGCGCTTTCTAACAACTGAAAGTTTTATGAAAGAATCGTGTCATATATATGCAAACTTGAAAGCATAAAAAAACCTTCAGAACCCCAACCAAGCATGTAATCAGGTATGCTGTAGATAGGTAATCTCAGCATCTGTGAGAACGATTGAAGGTAGGCTCAAGCAGCTGTCTCCAGCTTTTACGATTTCATATGCTTTAGAAATTTCACGCATGCGCTGCTCTCTATACCTCATCAACACAGTGGTTTTGTTAAACTCAGTTGGGCAGCCACAACGCCGGCAATGAAGGGCAAGATGCGTGGATGATGTACCTTTTAGAGAGCTTGCATGCTCTCTAGAACAGACATTGAGGCAACGCTCTGTCTGCCCAATGTACATGCACCCGCATGACAGAGGGGTGGAATACACCACTCCACTAGCACAGTCAGTGAAACGCTTAGAGTGCTTTATAGAGCAACCTTCAGCGCTGACAGTGGTCTGCCCTTTTGCAGGCCACTGTCAAGCCACTGTAAGGCCCCTGTCAGTGGCAGACCACTGTGGTAGAAATTTGAGATACAATTATGCGTGGTAAAAAAGAGCTACTAAATTAGCTTTTCAAATAATGCTGAGGTTCCTTGATTACAAATACCGAATAAATAAAAAAAAAACACGGAATATATCTTAATTAATAACTGTGACCCTTGGCGGACCCAAGCTTTTGCCTACTATCCATACATCCCGATGTGAAACTAAAGAAATCAAAGCTCAACCAAAAGAAGTTTGCTTGCTCATTTAGAGAGATGACACATAATGCAATGCGATAAGGCATGCATGAATCAGCCACAAACGAACTTGTCAAACAGTGCCGAACCACAGAACTTTGCAGCCGTGTGGCATTGCCGAGAGGGGCCCGAAAACGGACAGCAATAGGTCCAAGAGCAAAGGATGAGTCATCCAGGAAAGGGATAAGAAACTGTGATTAATGCTCAAATTCGGATTTTGTTCAGTGCACGTTAGTTCATTGCTCCACTAAATACCTGTAGGTAGCATTATGCTCTACACCTCCATCTCCCCCAACAGACCAAATTATTCAGTAGACTCTCAGTAATTAAAAATCTGCTAAATTGCTGCTTAATAAATCTAATATGACAGTATTTGTACTTGAATTCAGTACCTCTGCTCGTCTCTCGGTAAATGGGACTTCTATAAATGAAACACACTTTCCTGATTTGTTTAAGTTCCATTTAACGAGTCTATTTTATTTAACAAAGAAACAAAGAAGCCCTAGGCTTGTCATATAGCACACCAATTGCATTCACACTAAGCAAGTAACTCAAAATGTTACAGTCCTTACCATTTCAGAGTCTCCAAAGTTTGACCAGTCGTACATCAGCAATTCGGTTTCCTTCCTAATGTTTGACAGGCAGGAGATAATTCCATTAGATCACATGTGAAGAAACACTTTTAAAACCCATTTTAAGGAGCGTTTGTAGCTATGCTGCTTCAAATTCATGTTTTGATTCAATCTCTGCAAAATTCAAAACTGGCAATGAAAAAGGTTTAGCTAAGGCCATTCGAAAAAGACTTGTCCATACGTGGAGATGTTGTGCTGTAAGCACCGTAGAGGCTGCTTCTCTTCTACAAGTAAATGCGGCAGTGCACTTGCTGTCCACGTGCCCGCACCTGCAGCACTGAAGGCTGCAAAATCGCCGCTACAAGTGCTCAATATTCCTTTCTTAAAGGCAATATGCATAACCTTATGTCAAGGAAGCTGTGCACACAACTACAGCACACTTAAATAAGTCACTCAGTACTTCCGGTTAATGCAGGCAAACAAATTGCTTTGCTGAACAGGTACACTGAAGCCATCTGTATGCACAAAGGCATATCCATTAATAATAATTGGTGGGGTATAAAGAGACACTAAAGTCAACTATTAAGTCGACGTTGACTGTTGAAAGAGCGGTCCAGAAACCTCGTAGTATTACTTTTGGCCCAAAAAAGGGCCTACTTTTAAATAAAATCACGTTTTACTGATGTGCATCGGGTGAGCACACTTCAAGTTACCTGCCTCAAGAAGCGTACCGACTGAACCGTCTTTAGTCACTGTTGCCATGCACAACGTTGCCCTACTTTACTGCACTAGAAGCAGCTGACTAAAAGCAGCGGGAGCCACAGCAGCAACAACGGCCACCGATCAATTTCTCGTCATTGGCTTCGAGATTGTAGACTCTTTTGTTTCAAATGTGCCCCTCTAGACGGCACCACCTGTCCCGTATAACCACGCGAAAATTGAGTTTTTTAACCACTCGGACCCTTCCCCATAGTAACGTCCGGCGATTCTTCTTTCCATGAATCAAACAAAAAAGAACAAGCAGCATTTTATTGCGTCTCTTAATTCACGGACCATTCCTAATTAGTACAGCTAGATCGATCGCTAGAGATTAATTTTAGACGGCCCGTCTGATGTTATCAAGATCATTTAGAAAATGTCCTACTGCGGCGCTTGTGTTCTTGTGATTTATTTTAATTTCTTGGTAAGTAGGGCACTGTTCGTGATAATATTGTGCTTTTAGATGTTGTCATACATTGAGCTTTCACTCTGACGTAAATTGTTGTTTGACATTAGAGTCACTGTAACATACCAAAACCATGGTACAAGTATGATGGAGGCCATATTAAAGGGCTCCAGAAATTTCAACCACCTGGGGTTCATTGAGTGCACCTAAAGCTAACCACACAGGCCTCAGTCATTTCTGCCTTCACCAAAAATGGGGTCGCTATGGCCAAGATTCAATCCCACGACCTTCACGCCAGCAGTCGAGCATCATAACCACTAGGCAACCATGCCAGGTAGACGAGTTCCCACCAAAATTCACATTACACCATCGGTTATGCAAGGATATGTGATGACACATGTAAGAATGCCAGTACATTTCACCCATGCGTCAGATTTTTCACTCATAGATCAGATTTTTTTAGCAACAGTTGCTACCATTTGTTGTTGCCATTTTGCTTTGAATGCTACTTGCTTTTACTTGAAACCAATAACATAACTTAGGGGTAATTACTGGTGCCTGTATAAGCTCTAAAACATGCATAGCTATTGGTGTTGAACTGGCAATCTCATTAGAATCATCATCATCGTTAAGGAAGCCTCTGATATGCACATTGAGTGATAACATCGTCAGGGGACTAAAAACTGCCATCACGATAACTTAAACAAAAGACGATATCGATAGGTATTAGTTATGCTGTTACGGCTTATATGCAACACTGAACAAACCTTCCACCTGCCGGACCAATAACACACAAATATTATGAAACGATTTTTGCTATTTAATAAAAAGCAGACCTATACAATTTCATCTAAAAGATCAGCAGACAGAAAACCTGTGAGTTACTGGGAGTCAATCTGTCATACCTTGAAAAAAAATCTTAATCCTAGTGTTCTCAGCCTCCCTAAAAATTCCAAACTCTTAAACAAATATTGCAAGTAAGAACAAGTTAGGTCCATCGAACAAGTTATGTCCACTGGAAGAGATCTATAGATTCTAGGATTACTCCAAACATTATGCCATAGATAACATTGCATTCATTTGAAAACACACATTTGTATTCAGGTTTACTTTAGTATACCTATAACATTAGTGCCAAATATTTTATGCAGCATGACGAAGCTTTCTTTTATGACTTATTTCAGCACTTCAACAAGTTGTTCTACTTCACTGGCAGCCCACATTGACGACCACAGTGTGCCAAAATAGTGTTTTGAGAGTTGATCGTGCCATGTAGTATCATACACATATATGTCAATGGTTGAGATACCAGAGTGTAGTCTTGGGGAAAAAAATTAATTAGTAGAACAATGCTCAATGTGTACTACCACTAACAAACCAAGGCACTGTCCACAAACCTTGAGGTTCAAAAGATATAGAAAGAAGGAAAGAAGCCAATTTGATGTATGATACCCACCTGATTGAGCGAAGATAGTCCTTCTTATAACCTGATTCAATTTCATCTAGGTAAGCCTTTGTGAGAACCTTTGAGTTAACTTCCTCTGGCTGAAAATAAATAAATAAATAATAAATAGAAAAAAGTTGTCCCGTATTTGCATGTTCCACTGCAAATGTTGCCGAATGACGATAATCTTCTGTCTGGAGAGAGTGAATAAAACATTAATTTGATGTTCTGCCCAAGAAAATCGGTGAATGGGATTCTGGAGGCACTGCGTTAAAGTGCTTCGATGCACACAGCGGGTAGGTGCCACCACCTTATGGTCTTAGCAAAATGCAGGAAACACCCGCCTTTTTGTGCATAGCGTTGCATTGTCAGCTTAGCGTAATGAATGCTAGGTTCCTTAGCATTAATTTTGTATGACTTTTATAGTATGAAGAAACATGCCACAGTATATTGACGTGTTCATGTCCTGCCTCAGATATGCGCAAAATTTGCTTTTTAATAGATACTACGTACAAATATGAATGCAGAAACCAGAGCAATATTGCTGGGCACCGAAGATGTGGTTGGGTTTTGGAATTAAAGGCAAATAGAATAAAAAGCAAAAAACAAGCCGCTTGGGGTGACAAACAGAGAAGTCGACAAACAGACAGACCAAAATGCCTCGAAGTATCCCAAGAAAGAGTATATCGTCTTTATTAATAATAAATTTATGAAACTAAACATGAACTTGCAACTTCTAATGTCAGGGCAGATCACGAATATATGATATTTTAGCAATATTCAAAACAAAAGGAATCAAGAAAAATAGCAGAAGAAGAAACATAAACAAATATATTTATTTAATTGGTTATTGCACAGTGCAGTTTACTTCAAATCGTGTTTCCTTTCTTGACTCTTCTTGCAGCTGTGATGTGCTGGAGCTAAGTTACACGCACAGCAAATTTAAGTACCAGTTTTTTTTAGACCCAGACTGATTCCTACTTCAAGGATAGTTGCAGATGTGCAGCAGTGGCTCGGGGACATAGCTTTCGCTGTGGCAGGTGCTTCTCTGTGATAATGTAGCTCATTTAATCCGTGTGCTTAATAGTCAGATTACATTCTCAGGAGCATAAACAGTTTAGACTTAATAGGTGAGAAAAATACTTTCTGAAACTTTGTTGAAAGTTATCAATTGTCTCACGTTCTCCAGGAATATTCTTATCCCCCTTCTTAAGAGCACTTTTTCACATCTTTCCACATATTTTCAACAGTGGGTGAACAGTAAAAAAGTTAAATACACCTCTCACCCATAGTAATGCATTACACCGGTGAGTACCAAGCATGTAGTGTGGTAAACAGTGTAGACTAAAGCATTTGCTTATTAACAAAAATGTTGGCTGTTCATGGTACCACTGTTGTCACCTCTGTAAAATATGATAGTACTAAGGCAAGAAGCTATTACTGAAGACTGTAGCTACACTGCACTTAAAGTCCCTATTAAAATTATCACATTACGAGCGATGTAATTATTAATTTATTGTGCTCTCAAGGGGTCGAGCCGATGATTGAAAAGAAGTAAAGCAAACACAAGTTTGGAGTGCATACTTCACTTAGCTTGCCCTATTAAGAGGGAAAACGTTGTGAACCGTAATTAACATTATCAGTCAATGGTTGCACTATAGGTAACAGGGAAATAGTCCCACCAGCATGCAAATAAAGCTATTCATTGCTGCAGTTACTCTTGACATATACAGCACAGCTGCTAAGAATGCTTGGATCTAATGCAGACATGTCGCTTTCAGATGATGCGAGCTTCCACATAACGAAGTAAAGGCAGCAAGCATTACTGCCAATATTAAGGCACTTACTCGGTTCCGTTCACGAATTCTCTGTAGCAAGATGTCGCTGGGGACATCCAGGTAAATGACCAAGTGAGGCTTGAGCAGTTGAAAGAGAGTGTACTTCCTACATTCATGGTACATCTTCATTGCTGCAAAAAAAAAAATTATTATGCAATTATGTAAACAGTATTTGAATTTACAGGTACCTTACCCTTTGGAGAGATGTAGCCAAACTTGTGCATTGCATTAGCAAAGACAACATCAGTGAAGCAGCTGCGCTCCAAGACAACCCCCTGACCTGAAAAGTAGAAATTATTGCAATAAATCTGAATGAAATTTGAAAATCAAAGAAGCCAGCAGGTTGATATACCAACAGCATGACTGTTTCTGTCTGTTAACGTACATACATAACTTCTCAGATTGCCACAACCTTTCTTTTTTTCTTTGTATGTGCATGCTGTAGATGAAATAAAACAGGACATGTAGAGAATACAAGTGCACACACTACAAAACACAGTTGGAAATAAAAAAAATATTGTGCCTGCTCATAATAAAAAAACTTCACAATGCATGCTTAACATGACTGAATATGTGTGGTACTCGCTATAGCTCACATGTGTATTTTCATTCTGCAGATACATAGTGCACTTCTTACAGGATAAGATCTTGACCCACATAAAGCTTGACGTGAGTATGGCATTTTCGACACTACGTGTATAATGGTTTACACACATAAAAATGAAACGTGCAGTTTTTATAAGCACACGTGTCTAACGCTGTAACAACATCATGGTTTCCTTTAGTACATTCACTTGCAGTGTTCTTTTATATCTTTGAATGTGGGACGCTGCACGCAGAGCATGAAATATCCCAAGAGATACAGGTGTATGAACACGGACAGAAAGTATGGATGCCACAAACACCTTAGTAGTGTCCAGATTTTCTTCTTGTGTCCAAGTTTGCACGCTCGGTCTCTTGTAGAATGAATATGTACCAACTAGCAGATCTCGCTGCTATTCAGAGCATGAAACAAAAGGACAAGCTATGGAGACGGCTTTTAGCACTGTACTGTGTAATTCGCCTAAATGTTGACTTTGATGCAGCATTTATCGAAGTCACATCTGTTATCACAGCTCTGGAGGGTTGGTGGTTACTTGAACACAATTCATCAAGCTGAAAACGATGGCAGTGCGTGACGAATGTTAACACAGACACAACGGTCCGTACACGTGACGTTGCCCGAGGGTTGAAGCAAGGCGGGTGTACTGCGATTCGATTCGAATACTATTACTTTTAGCTTGTCGTTAGCGGTCTGCCCGCCCGTTCAAACGGCGGAGTCAGAAATAAAGAGAATTAAGTCGGCGCGACAGTGCTCGCTGTAGCAAGATGTCGCTGGGAACGTCAAGGTAATTGACCTAGAGTGGCTTCGGCAGTTGAAAAAAGTGTATATTCTACATTAATGGCACATTTTTCATGCTGTATTACAGCATAGAAGACCTGGCCTACAACATAACTGAAGTTCTGGTTTATAAATTGTAATATGGGGCACCTACCTGTGTTCATTATGTGCACAAGGGCGTCGACGTATTGCTCAAACCTTAAGGTATAAATTAGCATTTGCATTTTCGCCACAACTATGTTGTGAGGGTCTTGGTAGAACTGCTTGATGTCGAACATCCGGGAAGTCTCCGGCAGAAGATGGTTAACACTTCGGTAGTCAAAACCATAGTCATCCACGTAAAAGTTGTCCAAGCAGACTTCTGGAACGTGCTTCAGCTCGAACTCTTCAGCGATGGTCTTGGCGAGCGCGGACTTGCCGCTTGCAATGTTCCCTTCCACTATGATCAAGCGAGTGTTCTCGTCGAAGCGAGAGAGTGTCGAGTCGAAAAGGCTGTGCCAGCTTTTGAAATCTTTCGTCTCGTACGGAAAGGGCTTTGGTTTAGGAACGCGTTCCCTGAATGCTCGCGTTTTCATGCCGGCCACTTGCTGCACATGTACCGTACTTCTCGCAACCGCAACATTGCAGCTCGTCGGGAGGCCTGGGACTATGGCGATGCATCGGCTGATCCGCAAAAGGGAAAAAGCCATCGCATCCGCAAGGCAACACTTGGAAAGGCGATTGATAAATATCACCGGCACAAAGCCCCGTTGACCTCCACGGTTAGCACAGCACTGGACTTATGGATTTATGTTTTACCACAGAACACCTCTCCTCCGAACAATTGCATCGCTGCATGCGAAAGAACACGAACTAAAGCGTCGATTCAGTGTGTTTACAAGCGACATCTATTGAAGAAATTTGCCAGCATACTGGTTTTGATGCAATTTTGGAATGAAATGCTCTGTAAGGATGTTCGTAGCACGATTAATAAACCAAATTGCATCGTAACGCTGTGGCGCACTTACGATAATCTGTACACGTGGTCTGCGTAGAAATTCGGTTAGCATCACAATGCACGTTTTCGCTGCCAGTACTTTTCTCGTGCCACTGATAATGTGACCATGGCAGCCTGTGTGCGAGGCACCGAGATGGCGCCACCTTCCCAGTCTAAGTGAGAAACTGAGGCACAGATTCAAAAAGTCCACAAAGTCCTCGGAGCGCCTCTCAGGCCCCCGAGCCCCGAGGAATCTTTTCGGAGCGTTCGGAGTGCTGAGAGCGCTCTCAGTCCCACCCTCCCACATGTGAGCAGCCGACGCTGCTTCAATCGGCTGAGCAGTGTTGGTCCCCGCGTACTGTCAAACGACAGCGTCAGCGAGAGGAGAATCTTTTGTGCGGGTTTTGAGTTTGTCACGACGTGGATCTCTTGTGGTCGCTGTTCCTTAGACCGGTGCACCTTGCTGGATAGTGCTCTGTGGATTTATCTGCACTTGCGATAGGATGGACCTGGGCAGCTTTGTTTTGACTTGAGCAATGCCTACCTGCCGCAGAGGGGGCACCGAAAGTGACTGTCAAGCTACTTGAAAGTAAGTACACACACTTTTCTGGTGCACTGACCAGTGAAAAGGCGCTGCTTTAATGCAGTGTGCTCTCTTTGTGATGCGGTAGTAACTTTTTTCGCTGGCATTAAGTTGTGGCGTTTATGCCATCTCTCTCTCTTTCTCTCGCTGCCCCTTTGTTGTTCCTCTCCGTGGCTGTTCCACCTGCAAGTACTGTCGCGCCTCATCAGGATGAACGCAACGGTCAACATCTCCTTACTTCAAACGCGTCGCACCGTTTGCCGGCTTAAACAAGCTTCGGGACGAAGTAGGCGCACTGTGTTTCTTAGGGTGCTCTGGGTGGAGTTGGCTGGCGAAGTTGGACGACGGAAAGGGCGACACCAAGAAGCGTCTCTTAAACTTCATTAAACTCTTAGTTATTGTTTGGACGGCTTAAGAGAAGAAAAACTCGTAAGTAACTGTCTTTCCGAGTAACACGCGAAAAGAGGGTCGGCGAGAAGAGCTTGCGTCAGAGTCTCCGAGTACCGTGATCATTATCATCTTCCAGATTACTCTCCGCGCCTGGGACAGATAGCGAAACTTTACTACTCCCGTTTGGTGGAGTTTCGCCGAGCTGCGAGTTGTAAAAATCACGGGACCGCTGGCAATTGATGCGGCTGCCGTATGAAAGGCTGTTCAAGGGTTGGGACACCTGGGAGAGCTAATTAGTGGCGTCTGCGATTACGTTGTTTTTAGCGTAACGAGGCGCGCATAAAAGCTAGCCTGCAGATGTCGAACGGCGAGTTCAGTGTGGCCACTTATTTGGCCATGACAGAGGGAGGTATTAGCAAGGTCGCACTCAAAACATTAATATTGGTAGCATTGAACGAACCGTGGTATTCTCCCGCCATTACGACTGCATTTGAGGCAAAGGTCCGCGAAATTCCTTGTGCTCCGAGAGACATAGAATTTGATATATATAGTTTGTACACTTCCCTCTAGAACAGCTCTGTAGAAGCTCCCTTCATTGGTGTAAAGTCCATAAACAAACTGACGGAAATGTTTCATTATAATATACTAAAGGATTCTTGTTTGTTGAACGGTTAACGGTTCAAAGTTAGTGGCGGCACGAGAACCGTGTGCGGGAATCGGTAACACCACTGGCCTCGTTCGTCACTGTTTTTTTTTTTTTTTTCAGCGCATGGTAAAGCAGACACTTCTGGGGCAAACAAATAAGCGTAACTTGACAATGCATATTAAAGTTACATAACAATCCAGTCTGGTATTTTTCTTTGATGTCCCTGTGACGCATAATACAAACACTAATTCAAAGAGAATAAGCGCAATTTACAGATTAAAATGAACAAAACAATCCAATCTAGTACTCTTCATAACGCACAATGAAACACACACACACACACACACACACACACACACACACACACACACACACACACACACACACACACACACACACATACACACACACACAACGCGTAACAATCCAGCCTAGTGCTCTTCTTTAGCCTCCCTGTAACGCCAAATACAAACGCACACAAGTACTAACATGAAAGTAAGCATTCGACAGAAGTCTGTCTGGTTGGACGACGCTGCTATGTAGCCTCCGCAGTCACCCCTGAGGAAGGAACCAAGTCGGTTCTGAAACGTCGGGTTTCTTCAAAACTTTTGGTCGGAGTCTAGGTCATCTCCCAAGTACTTTCTCAATCGTCGGGTGACCGGAAAATTGGGTGTTCCGAAAATGACCGGCCTCATGCGCCAACGACATAATATGGCGATGAGATGCTTCGGCACGATTCTACGCCGCTCTTGCAATTCGCCGTTCATTGTCGTCTGATCCCATTGATAAATGCAGGCGGAGGGTCGCTCCGACTGTTGTTAATGGAGCAACAAGGCATGACCTCGAAAAGTCGCGGCGCAGGGTGCTTCCTTTTACTTTTGAACTTGTCGTTTATTTTTCTTTCTTTCTTTCATGTTGTATTTCTTTATGTAGTACAACGAAACTGCGTCGTATATGCTCGGTCAGCCAGAGCCTTTCACTACTAGCTCTCGCCGCTCCGGATAAACGTGCTTTTCGTGTAAAGTTCAGCTGTCTTTATTTATTTATTTATTTATTTCAAATTTCCGCGCACAACTTCTACGTATGCGCGTATTCGAGTCTTTGAAGCAGTTGTTTTATAATAAAACTTTCACTATCCGACCATAGATGCTCTGTCGGGTACTTCTGTACGCAAATTGTCAAGTAGAAACATTAGGGGTCTTACTACTATTACGCGGGGCTCGTATTCACACAAAATGCCTTACGCTAGAGGTTTTCACAAGAGTATTCCATCAGCCAATCATGAAACGAGACATATTAATAATGAAGTGAGCGTTACCTTGCAAAAAAAAGTAGTTTGTTAGTTACGAAACCGCCAGAAAAGTTAGCGTGTGTGATTAATTACGCGGAGCAGTTCGTAACGTCTAGCCATCCTGGCGGCATCCTGGAACCCTGTTGGTTGTTTTTTTCTTTTTTAAGTAGAAATATTTATTCACTCGAAAGCAGTTACTATATATATATATATATATATATATATATATATATATATATATATATATATATATATATATTTCGACCACCTCGTGCTTTTCAATGTGGGCTGACATTCCACAGTACACGGGCCTATTTCTCCTAATGCGACCGTTGCTGTCGGAATCGAACCCGCGGCCTCTAGGCGCACCGTAACCACTGATCCATCATGGCGAAAGCACGTTATCAGCCGCGCTGCTTCGTCTTAGTGTTGTTTTTTTCGATTAACCCTTCTTATATTCAATCAGGCTCATCTTCGTGAGTCGTGTATGCCATGTCTTCACCTTCACGTGGCAAGCATGGGCGGAGTCCCCAAGTTACGTCAACCCGCGTCCGTGCTGCTGTTTTGTGGTCTTGCTGTTTTTTGTTTGTTTATATGCTTCTCACTACGTTCCGTGGAGCCGCATTGCTGCAAGCATAGAGTTTCCTAAAATTAACTAGAGGGCACTCTGGCGCTGCGATCGTTCAGCGACCATGGGAATGATGGGTAGCACACACACTTGCTTAGTCTTCGTACTTGCGGGCGGCGAATCGTACTTGCGGCTTCGTTTATTGCTGTGTTTCGGTTTTGTTTTGAAAGAAAGACTTCGTGAGCCGAGTTGGAAAGTAAGTAAAAAAAAAGTAAAATGGTGAAGCGCAACCGCTGAGTATTTGCTAATACCTGTTTCGTAAGAAAACAGCTCCAAGCCACACGGAACACACACGGAGCCAAAAAGCAGGCCAGAAGTACGAATATTAGACAAATGTACTGCCCATCATTCCCATGCTCGCTGAAGCGCCGTGCGTTGCAGCTCCCATAGACACTAGCGCCTCAGTTCCCTCTAGTGTATATCGGGAAACTCTATGGCTGCAAGGACGGGCCTGCGCAGTCCTTCAAATGGAGCGACCCGAACTTCCTCCTGGAAAGGGCTTGTGGGCTTTCGTGCTCAGCGATTCAGATGGGATAATCGGTACGCAATGCCAGTCGGCACTTGCGAAACTGCCGACATGGGGGAGTGGCTACTAATGGTCTGAATGCGGCCACGACCCGGGACAAAAGGTTCCCAACCTGAAACACTGGGACTAATGGGTACACGAATGAATGGAGTCTAAGGGCTTGTCCCTCTTACCCCCTTCTTCCTCCGAAATTCAGATGGAGGGAGGTATTTTCTGAGAAAAAATAATAAAAAAATAGGTGCTTTTGTAGACTTTCAACATGTGACCCCCTCCCCGGCCTGGCTCCTCCAGGCCCAGGCCTCCCCGGCCTGGCGGTGTGAGCAGCGCATAGTTGTCTGAAGAGAGAGCATACAGAGTCTGCATTCATAAAAAAAGTTCTTACGGTAAAGCTTTTCCTTAGAGAATATTTCAGCCAATCGCGATGCGGGACACATCGTTGGCGAAACCGGCCGACCAATTAATTGGGTAGCTGACCAAACGGACATAGGAAAGAGATGTTCTTTTTTTTTTTTGTAATTTGGTCCCGGACTTTGTTCCTGTACTTTTCTGCATCGGCTGTCTAAAATTTACAATTATCAAGTGGCAAAAGCTCTATGCGTTCCCGCAATGAAGCAGCTCCGTATCTCCGACGCCCACGGGTGGAGCGAAAAGTGCAGGCAGTTACGCGCTGCTGCGTGTGTGAGTATCGCGATTGAATCGCCGACCACTGCACGCTGAAGATTCCTTACGCTTACGAGCGTCGAAATTTTGACGTCCTTGTCTGATACTGCGAGTAGGAGGAAGAAGAAAAAGATCACAGCATATCCACGGAGCGTACGATGATGAGTGGGGTGGAGTGTCCGTCCGCCCGGTCGCTCTTGCTTCCGTCCGTCAGTGCGACCGTGCGTCCGTTCGTCCGTCCATTCATAAGTCCGTCAGTCCGTCCGATGGATGCATCTATCTGTCCTGTCCGTCCAGTCCATCTAGTGAACACTCCAAGCACCGCCATCTCGTACCTTTTCAGCATATAGAAGTACCGCCATTCAGCAGACATTCTAAGGACTAAACGAGAGGTGGCACTCGCGCACTTTCTTACGGCCTGTGCTTAGTGTCTACTTACCACCTTTCACCGCCTCCAGTTCATGGCTATATACTAGTACACTATATTCATGACACTGTGGTCCGACCCTCGCTAAACGCTGTGTTGAAAAAAAAGTTCAGCGATTTCGAGTACTTTGTACTCAACTATGGGAGAACAGCTCCCGCTAAAAGTCTAGAACTGCTGAACGTTGCTAAAACCAAGGAGGTTACGCCCAGCGAGTTTACCGTGGCAACACGTTCTGGTCAGATAGTGCTGAAAGTGCGTGCTTCTGGTATTAGTTTTTGTTTTAGTAAGCATCAAATTCAATTCAAACTTTATTGGAGATTAAGTCACCAGTACTCATCTCTGTAAGTTATGTCATCAGAGACAACAATGTTTTTATTTATGATTAACGTGCGTGGGTTTCCTTCTCAATTAACAAGGGCGGGCGCGTGCCGCTCCTCT